TTTTGACTCTTTTGGTGAAGTCTTTTGAAGAGCATAGGTGTTTGATTTTTAGAAGATCCCAGTTATCTAGCTTATCTGTTGGGTTTTGTGCATTGATGGTTATGGTTTGTATCCTGTTAATGCCATGTATGAAGGCCTGAAGTGTTGGTTATAGGTTGAACTTCTAAAACCACTTAACTCAGTCAAACAAATTAATTTTAGCATTTGGGTATTAAACCCAAATATGAAATGCAAAACTCCCATGCAAATGAGCAGATGTTGTTATTTTTGAGTCAAGGTCTTAGGCTATTTTCATATCAGAATGGCAATCCAGGCTAGAATGCACCTGGCTTGGCAAGGCAGCACAAGAATTGGGACCAGACAGGCCACATCCAGGCCAGACAGCATCTTCTCCTTTAGCAGGTGGTTGGGGACTAACATTTTGGGGTATCTGACTGTTGGTTGTAGGAGCTCTGGAGTGTGCAAGTGTCACAAGTTAAAACCAGAAGTATTTGTAGCTCGGGGTATTTTCAGAGCTGTTACTAAAATCTAGTGGGCTAGATTCCCATCCTGGGTTAAGCCTCTCTGCTTCCCCAATTCGGCTAGCTTCACTAAAAACCCCTGCCCACTAATCTTAGAAGAGGCCTACTTGTTAAACAAGGTCTTTTATTTCTCCCTGGTTGGCTCCCTACCATATCTCACCTCCTAAATTGCTTCCCCTCTGAAGACTTCATGCCTAGCTTCATCCTTCCTCCCTCTCGGCTGATAATTTTGAGTCTTAGTTTAATGAGAAAGACACAGACTACAGGATAGACACCTAAGCTTCCCTTTCCTCCACTGCAAATCTTCTGATTATTTCTTTATGCTTATTAGTCCCTGTGAACCAGAGAAAGACATCCCCTTCTTTATTCCAGTGAAAAACAATATAATGAAAAGAACTGAGACAACAGAGTCAGCAGACCTGGGCTCAAAGCTGAGATGTATTGAGTTGGGCAAATTATTTCACCATTCCCAGCCTCAATCTCCCCATTTGTAGAATAGAAACTGTCATGGATTGAATTATGTCATCCCAAAAATATGTACATCAACTTAGTAGGTCATGATTCCCAGTATTGTTTAAGAC